TATGGGGTTTACCTACTGGGCAGCCCTATGCTAAAATCTAGCTTTCAGCTTAAAAATGGAAATAAAAGGCTGAATATAACCAGGAGCACACTTACAGAATCTGATAATGTTGAAATCTGACTATGGACTGGATTTCCCTTTTCCCAAGAGGGAAGATGATGCATTCGCAGCAATAGATTTAGCATTTCTCCCTCTATGGTTAATTAAGCACAGCACAGAARTAGCACAGCAAGCAATGAGAATGTTTATGGGCAAGGAAGTGATTAAAAAGGAAGATTAAAAAGAAATTACTAAGGAAAATGCAAATGCAACCAAAAGATTAGAAATATGAAAAATATGTAAGCACTGTGTGAAGGGAGAAATGCCTTTAATATAGAAAATGAAGGTTATTAATGAAATACTARAATATTTTATCTTTTTGTGTAATATACTACTTCAAATTACAAAATCAGGATAGATCCTTTACCTGAAGAGTTTGTTTTCTTTTGATGCTGCCATTAAAATTTGCTGTCATATTGGCAAACTTTAAAGGGCCAAGGAAGGCTTTTCGAGTTGTGAAAAATACTGTTTTCCCTCTCTTGTGGCATGAGCCTCTTTAGAATTTTGTCCTAAAACTGTTGTTTATTTACCTGCAGGTATATATGATTGGAATGTCTCAAAATTAATCTATCTTAAGCATGTTGAAGACCAGTTTTCTGAAGAGGGAAAGCATCTTTTATTAAACCAATGAATGCATTTGGMATCATTCAGAAAACATTTTCTTGATGCTTAGGACATAGTGTAAAGTTTAAATACCATTGAAATAATTCTGTGGCATACCTTTGCTGTGTAATTCTGCTTATGTTACTTTAATAATATTTGCGTTTAGCTGAGAAGTTTCACTTTGTAAGCAACTTATTTTTAGTTGAGTCTTGCCCTAGCATCGATTCCTTTATTTTGGAACTGTGTTAATTTGCAGACTGTCTCAGTTACCCACCTCCTGGCTTGCAGTCGGTAAGCAAGCAATGCTTGTGAGGCTAAATATTTGAGGGGGTCCCTTCTGACCAGCTTGTGTTRTTAGGAAAGCAAACTTTATCTGTGGCTGTGTCTTCTTGTGTTCATGGTGTATTCAAATCCTAATTACAGATCAATTAGTCTGATTTTGAGCTTTTTAGATTTAGTGTCACTGGATTAATGAAAAGAAAATGTGTGGTCAGCAATATCATTTCATAGGGAGATAAGCAGAGGCGAAGTGTGAATAAGGATCTCAAGACATTTGAATAAAGAATTTCCTCATTCTGTCAGTAAAGTTTTATGGGATACGGATTATGAGAATATTCATCGTTAGATCAAGAAGCATAAGTTGATGTGTGGAAGAGCTTATCTTTTAGGTAAACATGGGATAAATGGAAATTAGAATAGCCATTCATTGCCCCTAGGCCTGTGCATTTCACTACTTTAGAGACAGAGACAAGGGTTTTGTTACAGTTGTCATTCACTTGTTTCATTTGATTTTTTTTTGATCACTGCTTAACAGGTGCTAGAAGAATTGTATGCTCATAACTTTGAGTCTCCATCAAAACTATGAAAGATCATGTTGTCTTTCTCTCATCTGCTGCAAATGATAGTGTAAATATAAGCCTCTGAAATACAATAAAATTATGATTACAATGTGTATAACTATAGTAGTTTAGTGTGTAAAACTATGCTAAAACTATAGTAGTTCAAAAGACTTCTGTGATACTGGAATATCATGCAAACAGTGCTGGGTAGTTACAGAAATCCTTTGGAGCAAGGTTGGCGCTCAGGACCTGAGCGGTGCTTCTACTTAGAGAAACACAGTGTAAAAGAAAGAAGCAAGAACAACATGTCACCCTCATCTGTCCCTTAATGTGATAAGGGTTCTGAATTGAAACCCAAAAGGCATTTGGGGTTTGGATGTTGACACCCTTGTGAACTAATGTATGGTTTGTTTTGAGGAGGGTTTACGTGATGAACACTTGCATCCAGGTCCCCCCCGAACTTCCCAGAGTTATGATTATCCAGTTTGTGTATTTCACACCAGAGGGAGGTCTAAAATCTTCCCCAAACTGAAAGCAAGTAACATCTGGGTCTTAGTTTGCAATAATTATTGTTGGTGCAGATGAAATGTCAGCTGGTATTGAGGGATTTGCTGGCAGTAGTTGCAGACCTTGCCCTTCACAAAAGAAAAATCCTTTCCAAGCATTTACGTTTACTGGCATATCAAGCTATGTTGTATAAATACATAACTCTGCCATTTCCCTATTTTAAAAGTAAACTTAAATGTTTCTGTTGCTTTGTGCTAGAGAATGGGCACCTGGGAGAATGTTACATGGCTGATTCTTACTCCTGCCATAGACTTTACTGCTTTTAGGAATACCAAGTGTAGCAGGAATAATTACAGCTCTTTGGCAGACTTTGTAATTGCTTTCTTTAAGAATAGCTGGCAAGCTTTGTTTTGTTTTATTTCTTTATTTTTTCAAAGTATTAAATTACCTCAAGACCTCATAATTATTGCAGTTAAGCAATCACTTAAATTCTGTCCAAGTGTAAAAACTAATAAAATGCTCATAATATGGAGGCAGTTTTTAGTATGTCTGTTCTYTGAGCAAACGCAGCTAATTTGGTGCGTTCGAGTGGGGTAAATACTTGCTATCCTACTATTTTAATATGTCCTAATCAGAAAATTAGAATAGGTTTTATTGGCACAAAACTTTTCAAGGTGAAATAATTATTAGGGATTTTTGCTGATGCTACTGTTTTTTTCTTCATTAGCTGAGGTTGAGAAGGCAAAAATATTTGCATTTAATACTGCTAAAACTGCCTGTTTTCAATGAGTTTAATGTCTTGATCAATATGAAAGGCTTATTTAGARTGTGAGAGTAAAAAAAGAAAATCTACACCAAAAATAGATTTGTGAGAACGCTACATGGTAAGTCCTTTTGGTGCATGAGATTTATTCTGCCAATTGGTACTCATCTGGGGAGTGAGRTTCAGGATTAATATTTTGCAAAAATACACCAAATCCGAAACAAAGGACATTCTTTCAAGATCTGCTGTCATAAATACACCCAGATGATCAGTATTACTGCTTTAAGTATCTGCCTAGAAAAAAAAAAAAGGAAGAGTACTCATGTGCAAGTGTGCAATGCAAGGAAAACRTACTGATGTGCAAATAATGCCTACTCTTGTTTGATTTACAAACATTGTAATGAAGCAGTTTATGAACTCCGCTAGTAAGAAGTGATTGTGGGAACTCTTTGCAGTGGCAGAATTCAAAGTTTCTCTCTGCTGAATCCAGCCACCCCCATCAAAGTTAATATCAGCTGCTGCACCATTGCTTCCGYAATCTTTCCTGTTTGGAAATACATTTTTCCATATGCACACAGTACTTCGAAAAACTACTGAAGGTAGCTGAAACTAGAGAAGGTTTTGGGGTGTTGTCTTWAGGACCCACTGCTTCACTGCACGTCTGTGTTTATAGATAAATCAGCACTGTCTCTTTTTGGAGAAGAGGGTGCTGCAGTTTTGAGAGTGTAAGTGACTTGTTCTTTGTCCCTTAATTACATGCTAAAAGACAGAGAAGAAGTTTGGAGTTTCTTTGTTTCCATGCAGACTATTCCATGTTTTATTTTGCATGTTAGGTAACTTTCTCCCTTTCCATTTAAACCATACTACAGAGGTTTTTTAGGATTTATTATTATTATTATTATTATTATTATTACTTTAAAATACATTTAATAACAAAATGGCAATACCCCAAGTATTTATTAGATCTTTTTTCCTCTTAGCTCCATGTTCTTGGAGCATTCCCTTTGTAGGTCATATTTGGTTCTTTTTCCCCTAATACTTACCAGCCCTGTGTAAGGCTGTTATATTTCTCTTTTTGTTTGGTAGTTAGCTTGGTCAAAACAAGTTTTTGCCTCATGAAATCTCAAAAGAGAATATAAGGTTTTAACCTGATCCTGTTTTTCACTTGAAATGCAGGGGAGGAGAGTGGGGGAGTTTGTTTGTACTCATCTAACTTTCTTTAGTTCTTTTCTGAAGCTTTTTTTCCCCCTTTGCATTTTTAAGTGTGTGTTTTTAATGACTAAGCACACACAGAAGGAACTTCAAACAAGGATGTGGTGAGAGAGAAGCAGGAAATCTTGCGGGCTTTGGATTTCCACTAGGTTCTAAATCTTGCTTCCTAAGCAATTCAATAAATCCAGCAGGTTGTATGCTGGCAAGTGCTGCGTGGAACTGAGAAAGAGGGGAAGAATGCCTAAAACCTTGTATTTTCCAATCAGTATTGGCTTATTCTTAGAAACTGTGTGTAGTTTTGTTCAAGCCATGACTTTTGTAGAAAAATCAGCTCCCAGCTCTGGTGTTTGGCTAAAATATAATTCTGATCACATCCATCTGATTACTATGGAAATGTGATGAATTAACATTAATGAAGCATTAAATAATTTGAATATTATGCATGCTGTTTTAACAGGTGAGTTGAATGCTGACATTGGCTTCCCTACCAGTCTACCTGCTGAATGGGGCACTGGCTTTGAAGTCTTTTTAGAATTAGTGGTATTTGTAATACTGAGGAGAATAAGGGTAWTTGATATAAAGAGAAAGGGATTAGTACACTCTGCTTAATAGATAACAGCTCCCTACGTGTAATGGCTGTATAGTAATGTTAATGTCCACGAATTAATGGAAATTTTACTTTTTCTAAATAATTTTTTTTCTAGTATSAGATTGTTTTGGTAAATTTTAAATTTATTAAATTAGCATAGTAAAAATAAAGTCTATTTGTAGGACTTCTTTAAAGGGGAAATGGTTTAAYTTCTGCTGCTGCAGAAATTTTAGTTATTAAAGAATTGAAATGTATTGCAYAGTATTGATGGTAGCTTTCATTTTGTTCATGCTTGCAGGTTGGTGGGTTTTTTGTTTGTTTTTCTCCCTGATTATAGCCTTAATAAATTAGCTAGACATTTGATTGGTGATCTTTATAATTCCCCCAGAAAAAGTTCGGGAAATCCAGGAAAAACTTGAAGCCTTCATTGAAGCCCTCCATCAAGAAAAGTAGATTGTCAAACAGGTAACTGGTTTTATGTCATAAGAGGATTGTTGCAGTTTTTCTCCTGTATAAAATAATTATACTTTTCCCTATACTTACGGGCAGATGTTATTGTGCCGCTTTGTGAAAGGTTTTTTTAGTTTACTTCAAGGCCTGGCTACTGCTTCTTCTAATTTGTACTTTTAGCTTTTATGCTGCAAGCTGATATGAAGCTTGGTAGAAATATAATTATTGATTAGTTATTGGCGTATCGTGAGGCACTTCAGGCTATTTGATTACTCTCAGTTCATTTGTTTTCTTAAAAGAAAGAGGCCAAAACTAGTTGGGAATTTTATAGTAGTATGTTTCTTGTATATAAAGCATTTTGAAATCTTTTCTTAAAAGGCACTGTGCATTACTGACATAAAAAGTATTATTTGAATCACTTCCAAATTGATTTTTGTGTTATTGATTCTTAAAACATAAAAAAAATCTAACTTGTTAGTGCTATTTGCATACATTCTAAAGTCCATCTCCTTTCTGTTTCAGCAGCAATCTTTCACAAGAATGCAGCCTTTTCCAGGATATCTTGCACGAGAAAACCAAATGAAATGGCTTTTCTGTACCACTCTTACCTGTCTTTTGCAGAGCATCCTGTTATGTTCAAGGAGAAAGGAAATAATTTCTGAGAGGATTAAGAAATTTGAGTAAAACCCACCCACTCTTCTACTTCTTGAAGCTAGATGTACATGACAGAAGAATCTGACTTGTGTCTTGCTGAAATGTGGGAGATTGCTGAAGCTGTACAGTTAGTCTTGGGGTTCTCTTTTTTCTTTTCATGAGAGAAAGAAAGACTTTTCTTCATGGCACCTGTTATGTATGGTGAGGCTGGATCAGATTCATAAAGTGGTTTTATCAGCAGTCAGTTTCTGCTCGCAGATGATCCTGTTAATTTGACCTAGCTTTTTTATTTGTATATACATTAAAATGCCCTTCTAAATAATACCATTTGTATTTGTTATGCTGTGTGTTGAAGCATTCTCTGATCACTCTGGTACAGATTTATAAGCACGATATTGAAGAGTGATCTTGAGAGGAAGTTGTGGATTTTGTTAAATTCTTAAATTCTTGACAGACGTCAGCCGAGGAATTCTTCAAGAGCTTTCAAGTGAAAGTACAGACTGCTTTTCAATGACACCTTAAAAGGTCTGGCTCAGGAAATAATGTCAACAGCCGCTCCTTTTACTGATTCTTTCCTAATATATATTGTTATTCTGAATCATAACCTATTACATTTCAATTTGAGCATTGCACAGACTGATTTCCTTGTCAACTCTTCCCTTCTCTTTAGTTGCAATGTGAAGTGATTGAGCGTGTGTGGATTTTAGAAAGATATTCTGTACGATTCCAACTTGTCCAATCCCCAAAGCTTAAAGAAAAAGGCAAAGCTATATTCATTTTCTAATAGCTTTCATAAGACCAAAATTACTGTTTTAGAAATGTTATGCACCAGGTGCCTCCATAGCCACATGATCACTGTTTAGGATGGGAAAAATAGTTTCCTTTTACTGTCTTTTAGTTAGTGTTGCCATAGAAATGTTGTTTCTGACAAATTTTAAGCGTGATTTAGGCACTCTGTCATAGCTGCCTCGTGATTTACCACCTCCATATTTTTATATCTACACTTTGCAACCAATTGTGATAAAACAAACTTCTATTTATCAAATGATCTGGATACACTGCTGAATACTTCTATGAAGATAGTAAACAAGTTTGTTTTGCAGTTGTCTGATCATGTAGATGGAAAAAAAAGACATAGGTTTCTTATCCTCTTTGGAGAAATGATTTTGAATTGCAATTAAAAGAGAGAGGTCTGAACATGTACTCGCACTTAGTGTTTCTGTTTACTCCATTGAAAATTTGGTAGTGTTTCCCAAACGTTCAGTTAAAAATATTTAGTCCAGTAAATCAAAAGTTAACACAGAGCTACTCATAAAATGGTATTGAAAGCTTAAATACTTCAAGGTGATCTAAATGCATGTTTGACATTTTTTTCTATTTAAAACCACTTTCTGAAAATGAGTGTTTGAGGATGGAAAAATGAGAATATGGGTTCTGTTGTCATTGTTATCTGAATGTGCAAATTTGAGGGCAGATTGAATAGGTTGTATAGCAAGTGAAATATATCTGTACTTGTGTTAAATGCCTCTTTGTTAAAAAAAAAAAAAAAAAAAGGAAAAAAGAAAAAAAATCCTCTTGCATCTATGTGAAGAGATCACTGTTGGAAACTTCCAAGTAATGTAAATGTTGCAAAATTTCACATCCAGTGGTCCAGCATTCATCTTTTTAGTGTGATGTCCTTGTGGTTTTAGTTCTGACTTCTCTAAGCTGCTCATCGAAGACTTAGCATGTTGTATTCCATGAAAATTAGGTATTTATTGAATACAAATGTAACTGAAGGAAAAATAAAATMAGAGTTTTGAACATGGTGCTGTTGCACCTAATTTAACAGTCACTTTGGCCTTCTTTTTCTCTTTTATTAAACAGTAAAAAGGGTATACTGTTAATGATTTTAAAATGTGTAAAGTGCTGTCAGCATCAACTTAGTAGTAATTGTGCGAAGTGTTATTTTACTATATAAATAGCCTTATGATTTTTATAATACAAGAGCTAGATAAGATGTTTTTTATAGGATTCCCTCCTTTTTAGGATAGAAGGAAGAAAAGTAATGGTAAATTGTGCTTAACTCTTTCTTAAGGTAAGCAAAGATAAGAATATTTTTGGTAATTGCTATTACCTGGTCACTTTAAAAATCACTCCATGTAAAGATTGTTTTGGAGGATATTTAGTTGTAATTATGTTATATAGTAAGGATGTGATGATGATGATGTACATGCTTTTTATGTAGTGAACACAATTTTTTGAACTGTCTGTGGTTCATGTGTTATGGAAAAGTGTATTTCCCAACTTTCTATTTGCAGAGTCACTGTAGTTAGGCAAAACAGGTTTGAAATTACTAAAATTAATATATCAGATTATTTTTAACTRAAACTTCAAAAATCGTCCTTACATATTTTACAAGTGTAGAATATCTTTCTGTGTAATAAGATTATGCATAAACTAATGATTTCTGAGTAATGAAGACTAATCTGTAATTCCTTTTGAGGCTTTTTAAGGCTTTTTGAGGTTAGAGAAGGGATGGAGGAATGCAAATATAATTATTATCTGAATTAATATTTCCAATGCATTTTGTTTGCTGTCATGTAAGAAAGATATTTCTTTTTTTTCCATAAACTGATCAGTTAATGAAATAAGAATTAAGTATTAACAATAAAGGGCTTTTCTGACAGTTTTTCATGAAAATGGCACAGTTGGGGCTTTTACAAATGTCAACAGAGTTGATCTTTCTTAGTGATTTTTAGTAATGTCATCCTAAATTACAAGAGTATGAGACTCAGAAATGCACTAAAAGTGTCAAGTTAGTTTAGAGGACAAAAACGCCAAAGAAATTCCCTAGCCCTTCCTAATACACTGGTATGCTCTCTTTCATTATCCGGTATATTTTGAGCTGTTGGTGACTGAGTACGTTTTGAATGTAAACTGAGCACTGATAATGTGTTTCTAGAGCAAAGGTTTGGAGAGTTGACTTTTTGAATACATCTCAAAAGCAATTTAGGGTGGTGTTAAAAAGGTACAAGAGATTTCATCAGTTTATGYCAAAAATGTTGAAATATGTGATCCACAGATTTGACCCAAGAGCCTTTGAGGAAATCAAAATGTGGTTCTAGGTAAGATTTGGTCCTTAGTGAGATTTGGAAGGTGTGAGATTCCCTAGAAGGGTATCTTACACAATTTCTTTTAAAGCTTATTAACTGTAAGTGCTCCATCTTCTTTAACATTTTAGAGATTGTTTTTTTCAAGAATGAGTTGGGCATCACTGAACGAGACTGGAAATGCCATAAGCTGTGCCCTTGGTTTAATCTTCATGTTGGTGTTTCGTATAGGAGCATCTCTTCCAGATTGCTGCAGTTAGATAGCAAAAGTCTCTTTAGATTCAGAAATTATTTCACAGTAAAAGTTCTAAGCAGGGATTACTTTCACCTCTATTTAAATATTGTTCTCTTTTCATTAACTTCCCTAAAATGTTAAGGTGTCGGCATGCTTGGTATATTTAAGAACTTTTATAGCAGTATTTTGACTCATCCTCACAAGCCAATTGCTTATGGCGTTTGATGTTTAGAAATGGAACATTCATTGCAACCCTACGTACAATAAGTCTGTTCTGGTTCATGTGAAAATCAACATCCTTTTTTTGTGTGGCAGCCTGGCAGGATGCTACAATACTATTAGCATTTGCAAAGGTTTTGCTATGTCTAATAGAGCAACTCCCAGATCACAGGCTGCTCAGTTTGTGTTTCTCTATTATGTGAAAGACACAAAGAAGCTGAAGGCTGGCAAGGGCCTGTCAAATCTTGTAATGTAGCAAGCGACCCCAGAGCTTCATTCTGCTTTATATCATCTCTTGTTCCCCGTCCCACCCCTTGCCTTGAATGGGCTCTGAGGTAGGTAAATGAATTCAGTGGTCCGGTAGGCGGATGATTCCTCTCTGACCTCATTCCTGTACTGTTTGTTTCCAGGCTTGTTGGAGGGAACGGGACAACTATGAACCTTTTGTTTCAAATAATTTCTTGCAGGTTGGGGAGTTAATGCAGACCTTGTCTGAATTCASCCGAGCAGAAAGTGGTGTGGGTGCACGTCCCGACACGCTCGGTCCCTTGGAATTGCCAGATGAAGGGAGAGAGCAGCGGGTTGACTCCTGTCACATTCAGCTTGACTTGAACACCTGGACACCTGCTTTTGAGCAAGCATGTGTTTGTCCTCTCTCATGCCATGAAACATCTGTCTTGAGAGCACACAAGGAGCAAACCAAAGCAACCTCTGAGCAGCCCTGTGTTTCTCTTTCTAATTGGGAAGAAGTCACAGAGGCCAAAGCAAAAGCTGATTACAGTTGGAGTTGGCAGCAACTATCTGCAAAGGAGCCTCTCCAATCCTTTTCTGCAGTTGGTTAAACACTTAGGGGTTGACCTTGGATCATGTATTTGATTATAAGGAAAGTAGTGGTTCCTTGCATACCAAAGGTGAGTTTTAGGAGCAGTAATTTCTTTCAACCAGACTTGCTGGAGATGCTTTTGCAGGAGTAGAGAAACATGACCCAAGGGCAAAATGTGAGGTGGGAATGTCACCTTAGCTCTCCTGCATAGCCATCCTAAGTCTGCCCTCTGCACAGAAATGCTGTGATGTTTTCAGGGTTATTCTATAYTGAGGGTTATTACTATTCTATAGTAATGCATTCCTAAGGTGTCAAATGTTTTTTTAATAAATAAATGGTATTCCCTCAAAGTCCTTAATGTACATGTAAATCTGTAGTATCTGAAATGTGGAATTATAGTTAAACTAGGAAAAAATCTASCTTAATTGAGATTTAGTATTCATGAAAGTATCTGAAATGTTATGTAAAACTTGGATTGCAACATCAGCCAGTATCTTTGAGAGGAAAATGGCAGATGTGCCAAAAACCCCCATCTACTTAGAAATTCARTGGGATGCCTGTGATATGACCTCATCACTGTGTTTCATGTATCTTTTTACAGAGTTTTCCACAAGGCAAAGCGGACATTGCTGCAAATCTGCAAGAACTTCAGCTAGTATGTACTCACAGTTAGTAGGAAAGATACAGACATTAAAAGTAAAAACTGAAATGAAAGGATAAGGGCCCCAGGTAAGTGTGTTCTTAAACATACACACACACACGTATATGTGTGTGTATATATATATGTAAATGGTGCAGCGTAGCTTGAAGGTACAGACTGAAGGTATATTTATCATTTTGATTCTTATGGGTGTTGACAAATGTTCTGCAGGTGTTCATAAAACTTCCTGGTAATGCCATGATATGAAACAAATAGGATTAAGCTTGAAAATCAAACTTCAACAGACTGCAAAGATTCAGGGCATCCTCAAGACAAGCTCTTTGCTCACACTTCATTTGTAGTTCTTCTGTGGTGCCTTTAAGTATCTCATGTGGAAGATGAGCTCATCTAGTCATTGCAAGCCTCAAACGCACCTCAGCTGGAAGGCATTTGTTTGTGCACATTATTGTAGTTCAGGACAAATTCTGGAATAAGTATTTCATGCAAGCAGAAAAGCCACCCTTGCCTAAATTTCTTGCTAAGTGACTCATGGAACTCTGATAATGGATTTTTCTTTTTTTTTTTTAAATTTATTAAATGTGTGCTTCATAACTTTAAGATCAGTTGTCACTGATCACTGGATGCTATTGTCCAAAAGAAAATAAGAGCTTTCTGTTTAAAAGGGGCGTTTTGCTTCTTGTCAGTTGATGCAGTCTCATCATTTCAGCTGGGGAAAATAATGCATCWTTGCTTTTCAGTAAAAGAAAATTTTCTATTTTCAAATACCCCCAAATCATCTGGGTATCTGAGAACTGGTATTGGATAAGTTTAATGGTAATAGAGTTGAGCATAGATTATCTATAAAGTACTATCTCTATATCTCTTTGTTGCCTGTTTTTACATGCCCCGTTGGCTTTTCCTGACAGAACAAACTTCTTCCCCCATCCTCCTCTGTCCTATTGGCATGTAAATCGCGCCCACGCTGGGTGACATTCTCCGTCCTAAAGGTCAGATTAGATGTTCTTAATAGTGCCGTCTGGCTTGAAAAATTTATATATTATATATTATATTCATGTGACTTTTCACATCCTTTTTCACTTTCATTTCTGGTGTTTTGATTTTAGTACAAGGATGTAGAACATAACTGATAAATGTGTCTGTATTTCAGCATCTATACTAGGCATACATACATGTGCAATGAAAAGACATGTTGACTACCTCAGAAATAYTGAATTGCACATTTTTCTACACATAGCCCAGAACAAAATGTATTTAAGCATCTAATCTAGTCTGAAGGACAAATACTATTAGAAGTCAGTATCAGAGAAGTTAATAGTTAGTGGCCAGGGAAGAATCTTTGGGGATGAGTTGGTGTCAAGAGGCTATTTYCACATGAGAACAAGGGAATAGCATTTCCTGGACTTTAGAATATCTCCTGAATCCTCAGTGAAATCAAATTTTATATTGAAAAGGCTTGTAGCATGTTGGGACAAGAGACAG